TGGCTGCTGCTTTGCAGTCTCTCAGAGTGAGTTTTCTCCCAGAAGGCACCTCACTCCCTCATGCAGTAGAGCTCTTGGGAGGTGTGCCAACTGATGTTTCACACATGTTTGGATGGGGCAGAACCCCGCATGTGCAGCCAGCCTTCAATCGGGGGAAAAAGGTAACAAATATGAAGTGCCTAGCATAGCACCTACTCAGTACATTCAGGCTTTCATTCATTACTACATAGGGAATTCACCAATAATTTTTCTATTAAAGTATTTCTTTTCAGTGTATTTATTTATTTTAATTTTATTCATTTTTTTTGAGACAGAATCTCACTCTGTCTCACAGGCTGGAGTGCAGTGGCACGATCTTGGCTCACTGTAACCTCTACCTCCTGGGTTCAAGTGATTTTCCTGCCTCAACCTCCCAGGTACCTGGGATTACAGGCGCCCACCACCATGCCCAGCTAATTTTTGTATTTTTAGTAGAGATAAGGTTTCATCACATTGGCCAGGCCAGTCTCAAACTCCTGACCTTAGGTGATACACCCACCTCAGCCTCCCAAAGTGCGGGGATTACAGGCATGAGCCACCATGCGCAGCCTTTATTTATTTATTTATTTATTTATTTATTTATTTATTTATAAGGCAGGATCTCATTTTGTCCCCCAGGCTGGTGTGCAGTGGCATAGTCATGACTCACTGTAGCCCCAAACTCCTGGGCTCAAGCAATTCTCCCAACTCAGCCTCCTGAGTAGCTAGGACTACAGGTGTGCACCACCACACCCAACTAATTTCTTGTAGAGACAGGGTCTACCTATGTTGCCCAGGTTGGTCTCAAACTCCTAACCTCAAGTGATCCTCCCGCCTTGACCTCCCAAAGCACTAGGATTACAGACGTGAGCCACCATGCTTGGTCTCGTTTGAATTTAATTAAGAGCCTATTATCATCTAGGCACTGGGCTAGGAGGAATGGAAAATAACAAGATACATATAATTTGATTTCTACTTTAGGAAATACAGAATTTAGAGAGGAGAAAAGACACCCAGGTCAACATAGAACAGGGTTCAATAGAATGCACGTCCAAAGGTTGAGGAGAATAGATTCCTTTTCTCTGGTGAAATGGAGCAGGTGGCATCCAGTGAAGTCTGGAGACTGGGTAAGACTTCTACCACTGCACAAGGCAGCATGGCATTCCAGAGGAAGGGAGAGACGTGGGGAAGAAGAGGGAATGCCACACTCAGGGATAGTTGGCTGGAAAGAGAGATGAGAGCAGGGATGAGAAACCAGTCTGGAAAGGGAAGCTGAGGCAAATTTCTGATGGCTTTGAAGTGAAGGGAGACCAACTAGAGGGCTATCGTAGCAGTCTAAGTCTGACCATAACTGCTCCCACTAGCATGGGACTCATGAGGAGCCAAAGGAAGGAAGTAGGCCAAGTCGACACAAGTGTGTGCAGCATGGGGGGTATTTGGGAAGTGGAGGAGGCCTGAAATAGCTGCCTGCCTTGGGGCGAGGGCTGGCACAAGGCCACAGAGGGTCAGTGACATTGCTCTTCATGTCCCTTCTCTCTAGCAGGTATGTGGTTGGAGCTTCTGTTGTAAATCTTGCCCTGCATACTATCTGGAGACAGGGCTTCATTGGAGGACAGCTGCACATCTAATTTTAGGTTCATGCTAGAGAAGTAGGGCAGGTTTAATCTCCACAGGAGGGAGGAGTCATCGTGACACAACACTGGGCATCTGCTCCCACAAAGACATCCCGGAATAACTCTCCCATAGCGTGCTAGCATTTGGAGGATGATACGTAGTAGAGCTATCCATGTCCCTTGACATGCTATTTCATCCCTTCCCTGCAAGACCCCCCTTGAGCCCACAGGTTCTGTCATCCAAATGGCTTGAGTAGAATTCATCTGGGTATGTCTTAGTTACCATTCGTAGGATCGAGTTTGTGAAAGATGGAAATTGGCAGGAAGTTCTCATCTCCAGACTCTTCCCTAGCTTCTGCTGTCTGATCTGCAGCAGACAACCAGATATCCCACAGTATTTGTACTAATAATGATTAACAATGTCATAGCATGTCAAAGCGCACAATGTCTTTACACATTATTTTTTATTGCCCATGATAAACCTAGGAGGTAAGACTTGACATTCACGCTTTAAGAAATGTCAAAGTTTAGTTAAGAAAAGTTAAATGACTTGCCAAGGAATCTGGTACAAGGAGGCTTACAGAGCAGGTCTTCCAATTTCATTACCTTTGTTCTTATCTTGCTGTTGATGAGTAAGGATAAGATAGAAAACAAGGTAGCTTTGGGAAAGAATTCAAAAGCAGAGGGAATAGATATTTAGCCTTTGAGAGGAAATAGCCATTTGACGGAGGAGTAAAACTGCTCTATCATTAAGCAAATTGTTCCACGGGTATAAGCCATTTAGATGGAAAAGAAATTTAAGCAAACTTTAACTACATATGATTGTCTTACATATGATGGTTGTAGAAATAAAATGCTGGCAATAGACTGTGTAAGATACGCCAGTGGTGGCTTAAGAGCTGAGGCTCATCTGTTAGACAGGGTTTAAATCCCAGCTCTCTCACGTAAAACCCAGCATGTTACTTAACTTCTTTCAGTTTCAATTTATTTTCCAGTAAAATTGGGGGCAATAATAGCACCTGTCTTGCAGAGCAGATGAGAGGCTCAAAGGAGGTAATGCATGCTCAGAGCTTAGCACAGTGCAGGGCACCTAATAAACACCATGCCAATGACAGCTGTATTGTAACGGTTGGTGGAAAAGCCTCTTTCCTACAGAGGTTTGGTTTTAATATGGCATTTGACTGAAGAAGGGGAACCACTTTGCCCAAAATTTACAGAACAAACCAGACATGTAGAAATATGCCTGGGGTCCCTGAAAGGCTCCTTTTGTTATTGGAAGCACCCTACTCCCACTCCATTAATCCCTGGTGTTACTTTCCCACTTGCCTCTGGCACTTTGATCAAATCTGTGCCTGAATTCAACTCCCTTTGCAGGAGGAAAAGAAAGCATTAAAAATGGCAACTAGCATGAGTCTCTGAGGAGGAGGTTTCTGTGCTTTGTTGATTTCTCGCCCCTACCCCACAAGCTTGGCCTGAATGAGGAAGACAATAAAAACTCTGAGCACCCCAGAAAGGAGAGACCTAGTGCCTTGATGCCTATGGTTATATGGGATGAGCTTCCTAGGGGAGCCTTCCAAACAACATGGTACCCAGGTGGCAAAGAGGAGAAGACTGAGTGAGACCCGTATGTGGATGAGCCCAGCAGACATCACAGAGATTTTCACATAATCTAAAGGAAGAAGCCAGATGTTCCTGACCTTCTGAACAGCTGAATTATGACAGCATCAGATTAGAAGAAGCCTTGTAAATAGGGCAGAAAGATAAAGTTCATAGATTGGTAACCAAAGAACATGTTGAGACTGCAGATGTCAGCAGCAAAGGCCTGCACACAATGATAAAAATGAGACATATCCAACTCATATACATGTCCAAATGGACATGAGATGATTGAGGACAGTCTGTGTTTTTCCATCAACATCCCGGCACTGCCATGGCTTCTTAGAACTCAGATATACCTCAGGAAGCGGCGGGAGAAGAGTGAAATCCTTGGATGAACCAAAGAATCACTAATTTGAGTTAGATTCCTGATAAGACACTGGTTTATATTTCTTGTTATCTGGCATAAATGTAAATTTAAAACAGAGTGAAGTATAATTATAGAAAATAAATTTTTTGGTCCCTGAGTTTTTTATTATGAAGTTTTTTACCTACTAGATGAGGGTTCTTAGTAGAATTTAATTGACTTTCACTTTGCAATAAATTCACACCCTAGAGAAGATGCTTCCAAAATGAGAGACATAGAACACTGACCCCCCCTCCTTCTCCTAAAAAAAGTGATCTCAAAAAAAAGAAAAAAAGACAGTTCCCCAACTAAATCAATTTTGGATCAGGGTATACTAAATAACAGATATTCTCAATATGTGTTGGCTTTACAAAGACTCTGAGAAGTCTTACAGTAAAGAAACCACTATTCAATCCAGTATTTCTCAACTTATTGGATGAGATTTTTTTTTCACTGAGATATAATGTATTTCACTCTAGGAAATGCTTGGTGTAGAGAGCTGCAGGCGAGAATGGATGATAATAGCATAACTGTAGTGACCCAAGAGAAAAATAATCAGGTGGAACATGAGCCTAAGATTGATGCTAGGATGCAGAAAATATCATGGTTGGGCATGGAAATGTTACTCGCCAAATGACCCCATCTATCTTGGAAACTGGCTGAATTTCTTCTAATATTCTTTCAAGGTCCTCGCTGAGTCACTCCCATAAATGATGGATCTTAATGGTCCCGAATATCTCTAAAGCCTTCATGTCTAACCATCTCCCTTTTTAACTTGATGATTCACTCCACTCCAGCAAGCAGAGGCAGGGAGAACAGGCTGAGTTTCATTTTCCAATCATAAAAATACATCTCAAGACTAGCACATGACCATGATGGACTATTATAAGGCCCAGAACTCATGCCAGAAGTTTAACTGGCTGTCTCTTTAGAGACCCTGTCATTTCTGAAATGTCTTTTGAGGATTATATTTATTTATGGTAGAGTTGCTATGAGTAAAATGTATATACCTGAGGGTTTCAGGCAAAAATAACATGAGGTTTTGAGTCTGAAAGATCTGGATTCAAATCTCAACTCTACTATTTCCTAGCACGGTGACCTTGGATAAGGCTCTTGACACATTTTAACTTCCTCGTCTGAAAAAGAGAATAATAATATACCCATTCAGGGTTATCATGAGAATTAGAGGAAATGACTCATGGGTGTGGAGGGATGTAAGCTGGGAAGGAATAAAGACATGGTACCATATTTCCAAGGGAGAAATGATCACTAAACTGAGCTGGAAACATCATGAAAATATATGTGGGGCAATCTCCATCTCTCCATCTGTTACAAAAAGGGCAGAAGTATTACATGGCACTCTGTACCTGATTGCTTGGGTGCGCTTTTGGGTATAAGGAGTAATAACCTTGAAAAGCAGTTCCATGGCTCCGTTAATTCCCAGCATGGCTCCCATGGAGACTAAGAAAGACAAAAGCACAGTAGTTATGGTCACAAGTAGATGAGTTAAGGCTCAATACCTCCTTTAAATCTTTAAGGGGCAACCTGATAAACAAGATAGCTCCCTTTCTTTTCTACCCTGGTTGCACGTTCCTCTACAATTTCATACTCGGGTCTCCCACATGACTAAGGTAATGACTTGACTATGCCCCAACTAGAATGTCAATGAAGAATCAGTTCTTCCTGCCCAGCAGTAACTAGACTGGGAAGTTTTTGCCTTTTTGGCCAACTGGGTGGTTATAAAAACATTGCCATAGATCTGAATGATAGAAAGAAACTCAAAGGAGGTATCTGGTTAGATAAATACAACTTTTGGATGTTACTCTTGTCTCCAAGGATGCCCCAGCTTCTCTCCAATATTCCCAGGACCCTACTCCACTTAGATCACTTTAGGTAGAGCTCTGCTCATGTCAAAAAATAAGGAGTCCACAGGACACAAAATAGAGCCAGTAAGCAGGACGACAAAATTTTCAGTGGTAGAAGGAAAGAGGGTTATCTTTTAAGGTGTGACTCTCGTCTGTCTTTCCTCCATTGGACTTGTGTTTTTAAGACAAAGGCCTATGAATGCCTTGTGCTTTAGGCTAGCCTTGATCTGAGAAAAGTAGGAACAAGAAATCTTAGAGAAGCAAAGAGAGGGAAACAAGGGTGGCTGACACTGAATTGCTCCAACCCTCAGGAAAGGAAGTTAAATGGAAATCTGAAGACACCTCATCCCACTACAGTCTTTCAGATAGGGACTGCGACTGATGTCTTTGCTATTGCAGAGTGCATGTTCCTGGAACATCCGCTATGCATATGTCCCTCCTGAGGCTAGTACATGAAGTAATTGCCTGGATCAAAATTCAGAGATTTGGCATCCTAGTCCGATCCATCAATCTTCCACTCTTGTGGCTACTCACTCAGCTCTTGCTTCCGAACTGGGAAAACATACTAGAGAAAACTCTTGGCAAGTAATTCAAAAAAACTCTGGTATTGAGCAAGGGAGGAGTTAATTTTAAAAGCACTGATTCTAACATGGAAGATTTTAGGCTTGAAATTGGAAGAGGATAACAATAAGAAATCCTCACTGAGTTCACCTTTGTGGGTGCCTGTCCGAGGTTAGAGCTCTGGCTGCTCTGTAAACATCCTCATTGGCCATCTGAGAACTTCTGAAGGGTTCATTGGCTCTCACAGACTCATTAGGGTTCCAGCCAACTCCTTCTGAAGATAGGAGCTGTTTAGAAAGCTTTGCAGGAACATTCAACAGTGGCTAATAATTCATGGAAAAGATAGTAATCCACAGGCTTCTTGAACTCTGCTCTCCTCTCATCAGTAAAGTCAATGTATAGAGAGTGACAGTATAATTTTTTTAAATACCTTATGGAACAGTGAGTTGGTATAATCAACAAAGGCTTAGAAGATGAATCAGATAGCCACCTCCTCATACCCACAGGAAAATCCCAGGACTTATCAGAACTCCAGCTGAAGGAATTTTTCTATATCTCCATAACCATTATATTTAAGGAAGGCAAGTTTTTCAGCCTATTTATGCTTTAGGAAACCAGGAAATGCTTCACATTTCAGTCTGCTGGCACACTATAGACATGGGTGGCACACCTTCTGTCTATTCGTTAATTAGAGTTGTCCTTTATACAAAGCCACAGTTCCTCTTTTCCTTTATTAGAGATGGGTGTATACAAATCTACTCAGCCTTTCCCCAATGTTCTCAATGGTTTTCAGGTCAATATATGGGAGATGGGTGAGTAGAGGCTCCATCTGTGAACAAGGATTCAAGCATCTATCCCGTTATTCCCCCAGAAAGACTTTCTTTTTATGAGTCCTCCATGTTTATTAAGAGAATTTACCAACGAAAATCAAGTTATTGTGGCTGGGCACAGTGGCTCACACCTGTAATCCCAGCACTTTGGGAGGCTGAGGTGGGTGGATCACCTGAGGTCAGGAGTTCAAGACCAGCGTGGCTCTGTCTTTACTAAAAATACAAAAATTAGCCAAGTATAGCAGTGAACGCCTGTAATCCCAGCTACTCAGGAGGTTATAAGGCACAAGAATCATTTGCACCCAGGAGACAGGCTGCAGTGAGCCGAGATTGTGCCACTATATTCCAGCCTGGACAACAGAGCGAGACTGTCTCAAAAAAAAAAAAAAAAAGGAAAAAGAAACGAAAGAAAAAAAATCAGGCATTTTAGTCATTCTTGGGGTAATTAGAAATAAAAAGTCACCTATTAACTCCCCATATCTGTACTCATTCTACTACTTCAAAAGGGTAAGTGAAAAGTATAGGGCAGGGAAGAGAAACTAGCAATTATCAAGCAGTTGCCATGTGACAAACATGCCCATGAACATTCTCCTATTTACCCCATCTACCAAGTCTATGAGCTCCACTATGGCTAATTGTGTCCACTCTTAAATTCATACGTTGAAGCTCTAATCTTCAGTACCTCAGAGTGGGACTATATCTGGAGATAGGGCCTTTAGAGAGGGAATTATGTTAAAATGAGGCCATTAAGGTGGGCCCTAGTCTAATGTGGACTTATGTCCTTATAAAAAGGGGGAATTTGAACACACAAAGAAACATCAAGGATGCCCAAGCACAGAAGAAAGACCATGTGAGGACACAGGGAGCAGACGGTCATCTGGAAGCCATAGAGAGGGGCCAGTAGAAACCAAACCTGTTGACATCCTAAGCTCCAATTTGTAGCCTTCAAAAATGTGAGAAAAAAAGCACACGGTAGCTCACGCCTGTGACCCCAGTACTTTGGGAGGCCGAGGTGGGCAGATCACCTGAGATTAGGAGTTCAACACCAGCCTGACCAACATGGTGAAACCCTGTCTCTACTGAAATACAAAAACTAGCCAGCCATGATGGCCGCTCCCTGTGATCCCAGCTACCCAGGAGGCTGAGACAAGAGAATTACCTGAACCTGGGAGGTAGAGATTGCAGTGAGCCAAGGTCACACCAGTGCCTGGGCAACAGAGTGAGACCTCATCTCAAAAAAAAAAAAAAAAGTGAGAAAATACATTTCTTTTGTTTAAGTCACATAGACTGTGGTATTTTGTTAAGGCATTAAGGCAGCCCTAGCAGAGTAATAGTAATCATTATTACTACTATGATTTTGTAAAGGATGAAACTGAGATTCAACACGTTAAGTACTCATGCTTCATGACTCATAAGAAATAGAATCACAGTCAAACTCAGGTCTTTTTGGCTCTAAGCCCACGTTCTTTCCCCTATCGACTATATAACTTTAAATAACTGTCACTTTCATTTCATAGGAAGGGAACTCAGAAAGAAGAAATGAAAGTCTATGCGCATTACATATGAGATAGGATATATAGGATCTAATGTATTAGTAAAAAGTTTCCATATGGAATAGAATTAACATGAGTTCTGGAGTTAGAAATTCCGCCCTCGTGACTTTTTATGTATATGAATTCAAGCAATTGCTTCACCTGTTTTTTTTCTTTTTAAGACAAGGTCACCCAGGCTGGAGTGCAGGCGCATGATCACTGCTCACTGCAACCTTGACTTCCTGGGTTCAAGTGATTCTCTTACCTCAGCCTTCCAAGTAGCTGGGACTATAGGCACATGCCACCACACCCAGCTAATTTTTTGTATTTTTAGTAGAAACCAAGCTGGTCTCAAACTCCTGGGCTCAAGCGATCTGCCCACCTCATCCTCCCAAAGTGCTGGGATTACAGGCGTGAGCCACCGTGCCTGGCCATGCTTTACTCTTTAAAGTTTCTCCTTCTAAGCTATAAAATTACGAGTCTAAATACAAAATTACTATGATAATTAGAAATAAATCAAATCAGGAGATAGCAAATAAGTATCAGCTGAGCTATAATGTTCCTAATAATTACCTGGAGGACCCTGTTGAGAAGGATCACGGGTTTTTTTAAATCGTAAGGGATATTGTAATCAATGAGCAATTTCAGGAATACGGTAGGGAGATCTGTGATGTGAGAGTCATTCTACCCAGATACAACACTTCAATGTGACAAGGACTAAATAAAGTCTGCCCTTCTCCTGTCATATCTTTTTTACCTTGTAGTACTCATAGAAAAGCCTAGAATGCTGTAATGTGTGACTGTCAAGAAGAAACAATATTGAAGTCCATCTCTAGGAGCAGACTCAAGAGCTCTACCTGGCTAAGGAGAAAATGAAGAAATAACTTCTCACCTCCATAGCCTCTGGATTGTCAGCCTCCTTTATTTATCTGGCTGGGACCATCATGTGAATCTCTCACCCATGCTTTTCTTCCAACCAGACCCTCACGCAGTTTCCATGTGTCCCAGCCCTGGTTTGAAAGCCATCCCCAAGAACCACAATAGAGTCACTTACCACTGGAGGCAAACACACGCAGAGCCCAGAGACAGTGAAGGAGGTTCTGGCCATGGGATAAGTTCTTCCTGGCCAGAATCAATGTCACATCAAGTGCTTCCAATTCCAGGGCCTTCCGTCCAATCTTTTTATCTAAGAACACAAATCAATCTATCTTAGCTGCACTTCACATTGATTCTGGATTGTACAATGTGTGGAGTGGAGGAAGGGGAAGATGGTGAAGGAGGAGGATAATCACAGCCAAAGACATTTTTCAAACCTAGTGACAAATGCTGCTAAATATGTCCCCACTAGAACCAAATGAATCAAAAGAGCTAATTCAGGTAAAATGAATCAAAAGAGCTAATTCAGGTGACATAAAGTTACACGGAAGCAATGCTGCTAAATATGTCCCCACTAGAACCAAATGAATCAAAAGAGCTAATTCAGGCGACACATAGTTACATGGAAGCTTGCGGGTTGAATAACTCTCAAGCCCCTATATTTAGGTTGTCCTCATACATTAACCACAGTTCAAATGGGAATAAAGTTTTTTCTTTAAGACAATTCTAGAATTGAGAATATTTCATGTTAATATAATTCTTGATATAACATTCAAATGTAATGTGTCAACTTGTATTGGATCTTGCTTTGAATATGTCTATAAAAGACAGTTGGGAACATTTGGAGAAATTGGAATGAATATAAATTACGCATGTATTTTTAATTTTATTAGGTTTGTAATAATGGTATTGTGATTATGTAGGGAAATGTCTCTTTTCAAAGAAATGCACTTGAAAGGATTTAGGAAGAAAATGCTACCTGCAATTTCTCTTAAAATATTTCAGATAAAAATAAATAGGTGAAGAAAATATGGCAAAATGTTAACAATGGTTAGAACTAAGTTTTAGGTATATAAGAGGCCATCTTTCTATATGAGAGAAAGTTTTCATAATAAAAAGTCAAAACACATTTTTAAGAAAATAAAATTTTCCCCTCTAATATTTCTTTGTTTCATTTTTATAATGCTTTAATTTCTAGGGTACATGTGCACAACGTACAGGTTTGTTACATATGTATACGTGTACCATGTTGGTTTGCTGCACCCATCAACCTGTCATTTACATTAGGTATTTCTCCTAATGCTATCCCTCTCCCAGTCCTCCACCCCTTGACAGGCCCTGGTGTATGATGTTCCCTGCCCTGTGTCCAAGTGATCTCATGGTTCAATTCCCACCTATAAGTGAGAACATGTGGTGTTTGGTTTTCTGTCCTTGTGACAATTTGATAAGAATGATGGTCTCCAGCTTCATCCATGTCCCTGCAAAGGATACGAACTCATCCTTTGTTATGGTTACATAGTAGTCCATGGTATATATGTGCCACATTTTCTTAATCCAGTCTATCATTGATGGACATTTGGGTTGGTTCCAAGTCTTTGCTACTGTGAATAGTGCTGCAACAAACATACGTGTGCATATGTCTTTGTAGTAGCATGATTTATAATCCTTTGGGTATATACTCAGTAATGGGATTGCTGGGTCAAATGGTAATTCTAGTTCTAGATCCTTGAGGAATCACCACACTGTTTTCCACAATGGTTGAACTAATTTACACTCCTACTGACAGTGTAAAAGCATTCCTATTTCTCCACATCTTCTCCAGCATCTGTTATTTCCTGACTTTTTAATGATCACCATTCTAACTGGTGTGAGATGGTATCTCATTGTGGTTTTGGTTTGCATTTCTCTGATGACCAGTGATGAACATTTATTTGTATGTCTGCTGGCTGTATAAATGTCTTCTTTTGAGAAGTGTCTGTTCATATCCTTTGCCCACTTTTTGATGGGGTTGGTTTTTTCTTGTGAATTTGAGTTCTTTGCAGATTCTGGATTAGCCCTTTGTCAAATGGGTAGATTGCAAAATTTTTCTCCCATTCTGTAGGTTGCCTGTTCACTCTGATGTTAGTTTCTTTTGCTGTGCAGAAGCTCTTTAGTTTAATTAGATCTCATTTGTCTATTTTGGTTTTTGTTGCCATTGCTTTTGGTGTTTTAGTCATGAAGTCATTGCCCAGGCCTATGTCCTGAATGGTACTGCCTAGGTTTTCTTTTTGGGTTTTTATGGTTTTAGGTCTAACATTTAAGTCTTTAATCCATCTTGAATTAATTTTTGTATAAGGAAAGGATCCAGTTTCAGCTTTCTATATATGGCTAGCCAGTTATCCCAGCACCATTTATTAAATAGGAAATCCTTTCTCCATTTCTGGTTTTTGTCAAGTTTGTCAAAGATCAGATGATTGTAGATGTGTGGTTTTGGTACCAGTATCATGCTGTTTTTGTTATGGTAGACTTGTGATATAGTTTGAAGTCAGGTAGCTTGATGCCTCCAGCTTTGCTCTTTTTGCTTAGGATTGTCTTGGCAATGCAGGCTCTTTTTGGTTCCATATGAACTTCAGTTTTTTCCAATTCTGTGAAGAAAGTTATTGGTAGCTTGATGGGGATGGCAGTGTATCTATAAATTACTTTGGGCAGAATGGCCATTTTCACAATATTGATTCTTCCTATCCAGGAGCACGGAATGTGTCCTCTTGTATTTCCTTGAGCAGTGGTTTGCAGTTCTCCTTGAAGAGATCCTTCACATCCCTTTAAGTTGGATTCCTAGGTATTTTATTCTCTTTGTAGCAATTGTGAATGGGAGTTCACTCATGATTTGGCTCTCTGTTTGTCTGTTAACGGTGTATAGGAATGCTTGTGATTTTTGCATGTTGATTTTGTATCCTGAGACTTTGCTGAAGTTGCTCATCAGCTTAAGGAGATTTTGGGCTGAGACGATGGGGTTTTCTCAATATAAAATCATGTCATCTGCAAACAGGGACAATTTGACTTCCTCAATCCCTAATTGAATACCCTTTCTTTCTTTCTCTTGCCTGATTGCCCTGGCCAGAACTTCCAACACTATGTTGAATAGGAGTGGTGAGCATGGGCATCCTTGTCTTGTGCCAGTTTTCAAAGGGAATGCTTCCAGTTTTTTTGCCCATTCAGTATGATATTGGCTGTGGGTTTGTTAAAAATAGCTCTGATTATTTTGAGATAAGTTCCATCAGTACCTAGTTTATTGAGAGTTTTTAGCATGAAGGACTGTTGAATTTTGTCAAAGGCCTTTTCTTCAACTATTGAGATAATCATATGGTTTTTGTCATTGGTTCTGTTTATGTGATGGATTACATTTATTGATTTGTGTATGTTGAACCAGCCTTGCATCCCAGGGATGAAGCCTATTTGATCATGGTGGATAAGCTTTTTGATGTGCTGCTGGATTTGGTTTGCCAGTATTTCATTGAGGATTTTCACATCAATGTTCATAAGGGATATTGGTTAAAATTCTTTTTGTTGTGCCAGGCTTTGGTATCAGGATGATTTTGGCTTGATAAAATGAGTTAGGGAGGATTCCCTCTTTTTCTATTCATTGGAATAGTTTCAGAAGGAATGGTACCAGCTCCCCTTTATATCTCTGGTAGAATTCGGCTGTGAATCCATCTGGTCCTGGACTTTTTTTGGTTGGTAGCCTATTAATTATTGCCTCAATTTCAGTGCTCTTAACACTGTTTCCTTCATTTCAACCTTTGTGAATCTGACAATTATGTGTCTTGGGGTTGCTGTTCTCGAGGAGTATCTTTGTGGTGTTCTCTGTATTTCCTGAAGTTGAATGTTGGCCTGCCTTGCTAGGCTGGGGAAGTTCTCCTATATAATATCCTGCAGAGTGTTTTCCAACTTGGTTCCATTCTCCCCATCACTTTCAAGTACACCAATAAAATGTAGATTTGGACTTTTCACATAGTGCCATATTTCTTGGAGGCTTTGTTCATTTCTTTTTATTCTTTTTTTCTCTAACCTTGTCTTCTCACTTTATTTCATTAATTTGATCTTCAATCACTGATACCCTTTCTTCCACTTAATCGAATTGGCTATTGAAGCTTGTGCACGCATCACAAAGTTCTTGTGCCATGATTTTCAGCTCCATGAGGTCATTTAAGGTCTTCTCTACACTGTTTATTCTAGTTAGCCATTCATCTAATCTTTTTTCAAGGTTTTTTAGCTTCTTTGTGATGGGTTCAAACATCCTCCTTTAGCTCAGAGAAGTTTGTTATTACCAACCATCAAAGTTACTCATCAAAGTTATTCTCCATCCAGCTTTGTTCCATTGCTGGCGAGGAGCTGTGATCCTTTGGAAAAGAGATATTCTGATTTTTAGAATTTTCAGCTTTTCTACTCTGGTTTCTCCCCATCTTTGTGGTTTTATCTACCTTTGATCTTTGATGTTGGTGATCTACAGATGGGGTTTTGGTGTAGATTATCTTTTTGTTGATGTTGATGCTATTCCTTTCTGTTTGTTAGTTTTCCTTCTAATAGTTAGGTCCCTCAACTGCACGTCTGTTGGAGTTTGCTGGAGTTCCACTACAGACCCTGTTTGCTGGGTATCACCAGAGGAGGCTGCAGAACAACAAATATTGAAGAACAGCAAATATTGCTGCCTGATCATTCCTCTGGAAGCTTCATCCCAGAGGGACAGCTGCCTATATGAGGTGTCTGTTGGCCCCTACTGGGAGGTGTCTCCCAGTTAGGCTACATGAGGGTCAGCGACCCACTTGAGGAGGCAGTCTGTCCGTTCTCAGAGCTCAAAATCATGCTGGGAGAACCGCGGCTCTCTTCCGAGCCGCCAGACAGGGATGTTTAAGTCTGTAGAAATTGTCTGCTGCCTTTTGTTCAGCTATACCCTGCCCACAGAAGTAGAGTCTAGAGGCAGTAGGCCTTGTTGAGCTGTGGTGGGCTCTGTCCAGTTCAAGCTTCCTGGCTTTGTTTACATACTCAAGCCTCAGCAATGGCAGACACCCCTCCCCCAACCAGGCTGCTGCCTCACAGATCCATCTCAGACTGCTGTGCTAGCAGTGAGCAAGCCTCTGTGGGCGTGGGACCTGCCAAGCCAGGCACAGGAGAGAATCACCTTGCCTGCAGGTTGCTAAGACCTTGGAAAAAGTGCAGTATTTAAGTGGGAGTGTCCCATTTTTTCAGGTAGTCTGTCAGGGCTTCTCTTGCCTGGGAAAGGGAAATCCCCCAACCCCTTGTGCTTCTCAGGTGAGGTGACACCTCACCCTCCGTGGGCTGCACCCACTGTCCAACCAGTCCCGATGAGATGAACAAGGTACTTCAGTTAGAAATGCAGTAATCACCCATCTTCTGCATGGATCACACCAGGAGTTGCAGACTAGAGCTGTTCCTATTCAGTCATCTGGAGCTGTTCCTATTCGGCCATCTTGGAACGCCCCCCATTTCCTCTCTAATATTTCTAAATTACTGCTCCAAATAAACTGACACCTAGTGTTACAAATAAGTCCTCATTATTTTAATAATTAGAAAATAAGCATAGAAAAAGAAACACTTATTTTATGTTCCTTGTCCCCACTATGATACCAGTCAATGGGTGATGTCTAAATCATCATGTTTGTTTTTGCAAGAATACATCACTATCAGATTTATTGCAGGTAGAAATGAATAAAACAGAAAAAAATCCTAAACCTGGTTTACTGATATGTACCTCTGGACCAAAGGACAACAGAAAAGAGGTTGTAATTGAACCTACATAACCCATTTCCTTCATCAGAAAAGAGATATATCTATCCCATTCCTTCATGAGCAGCCAACCTCATTTCTGTTCTGTTCAGGTCAGCCCATGGCAACCTGAATGTCAACGTCAAGGACTATAACCCCTTGATGGCAGAAACTGTGGTGATGTAATCACTACAATAGTAATATCAAGGTGAATAACTTGGAAATCACTGGCCTGGTGTATCTCTCATGTCTCTCTTTCTCCTATAAAATCCGTATGACCCTAGTTTGCCAGGGCCCTGAACCACATGATAAGCATGTGACATACAATACCTTGTTTAATCCTCATAGCACCCTAGAATTAAGTAGAGTCATCCCTCAGTATCCATGTGGGATTGGTTCCAGGATTCCCACAGATATCAAAATCCACAGATGCTCAAGTCCCTGATATAAAATGATGTAGTATTTGCATATAACCTACACACATCCTCAGACCTTACATCATCTCTAGATTACTATAATACTTAATCTAAGGTAAATGGTATGTAAATAGTTGTTATACTGTATTGTTTAGGGAATAATGACAAGAAAAAAGTTTGGACATGTTTAGTACAGATACAATTTTTAAAAATATTTTCAATCCAATGTTAATTGAATCCATGGGTGCAGAACCCACAAAAATGGAGGGTCAACTGTACAGATAGCTCTATTTTATACATAAGGGCACAATGCTCAGAAAGTTTAAGTACTTTGTCCAAGGTCACATAGCTAATAAGTGTCAGGGCCAGGCCTGAGACCCAGGTGTGACTCCCCAGCTTATACCGTTTATGGTATATATCAAGTCTCTGTGGTCCTTTCCTGGAGTCCACCGGGCCCACTCTTTGCTTTACTGACTTCTTCTCATTCTTGAAGTTTTAGCTCCAATGTCACCTCTCCTGACCACACCAGTCTAGTGTAACATCACTCTCGCTTCCTCTTACGGCACTCATCATAGTCTGCTATCTCCAAGTTGTTTGTTGATTTGCTGGCCTTCTCCCCTTGAACATAAGTTTCATGAGAGCAGGTCCTTAACTGCCTTGGTCATCATGGTGTTCCTAGTGCCTGAAGGACCTGGCCCTAGGAGATATCCAGTAAATATCTGTTGGATATTCATCGAATGAATTGTATTGATTTTTTCTGGGACATGCTCATGCAGGTGTTGGCAAAAGCCTAGTTCTCCATCATTATCAGCAGAATGTTGAATAGACTTAGAGTGGAGATCCAAATATTTAAACGAACAGTGCTCCAGAACCCCTGGGCCCTTGGCTGTCACTGATAGCACGGGACATCAAAGGTCCACCTTTCAGAGGATCTGAGCTTCTCAGCTGTGACCTATATAAGACTCAGCACGCAATTAGAATTTAACATTTGCCACTCATTTGCAATGTTTGTGTGAGTCCTGAGTGCCCATGCTTTTAAACTGTGCTCCAAGAACTTCTAGAGTTTTCAGGAAATGTTTCAGGGTTTTCCTTGGTGAAAGAGAAATGACTATGGAGCCAAAATGGAAAGAACTCTAGGTCCTTCCTCCATCTTCCCTTCAACTAGGAATGTTCCACTTCTGTGTGACTTGTAGTGGGTTGAATAGTGGCCCCCAAAAATTCATGTCCACCCAGAAGCTCCGAATGTTATTCCTTTGGGAAATAGAGTCTTTGCAGATTTTATTACAAATTAGAGTGGGTCCTAAATCCTATGACTGATGTCCTTACACAAAGAGGAAATGATACAGAGGAGAACACCATGTGAAGACGGAGGCAGAGATTGGAGTGATGCATTTACAGTCCAAGAAACACCAAGGATTTCTGGCAACCCTCAGAGGAGAGAGGCGTGGAACCAATTCTCCCTCAGAGCCTCCAGAAGGAACCAACCCTGGCAACACCTTGATTTTGGACTTCTGATCTCCTAACAGCCTTCTGTTGTGTTAAGCTAATCAGTTTGTGGCAATTCGTTACGGCATCTCCAGGAAACTAGTACACTTACGTAATAGACTTTCTTTTTTTAACTTTTAAGTTCAAGGGTAAATGTGCAGGTTTGTTACATAGGTAAACTTGTGTCATGGGGGTTTGTTGTACAGATTATTTCAGCACCCAGGTATTAAGCTAGTACTCGTTAGTTATTTTTTCTAATCCTCTTCCTCCTCTTACCCTCCCGATCTTCAGACAGGCCCCAGTGTGTGTTGTTCCCCTCTGTGTCCGTGTTCTCATCATTTAGCTTCCACTTATAAGTGAAAACATGAGGTATTTAGTTTTCTGTTTCTGCTTTAATTTGCTAAGGATAATGGCCTCCAGCTCCACCCATGTCCCGGCAAAGGACATGATCTCATTCTTTTTTATGGCTATATAGTATTCCACAGTGTATATGTACCACATTTTCTTTATCCAGTCTATTATTGATGGGCATTTAGGTTGAGTCCATGTCCTTGTAACTGAATAGTGCTACAATGACCAAATGCATGCAGATGTATTTATAATAGAATGATTTATATTCCTTTGGTTATATACCCAGTAATAGGATTGCTAGGTCGAATGGTATTTCTGTCTTTAGGTCTTTGAGGAATCACCACATTGTTTTCCACAATGGTTGAACTAACTTATACTCCCATCAACAGTGTATAAGTGTTCCTTTTTCTCCACAACCTTGTGATGCAACTTTTAGACATGTTCCATTTATTTTTAAAATGATTAAAAACTGCATTGGAGTATCTCCCCTCCTTTCCCCCATATGATCCATGCCCCATGTAGTCCATGTTTGTTCTGGGCTCTGTGCTGAGCACCACACCTTGGATGAGCTGACATCAAATTCAACAAAATTCCCTCTCCTATGGGGCTGCTCCTGCCATCGCCATCAAGGTGTCCAGAACCTCCCTTCCACTTCTTCCCTGTGCTTCTCCACCAGAGCTTCCCAAATTGCACTCATGATAACAACCCTAGAAGTGCCTTTTCAGTCAGCTTTAGGTATTGGAGTATGAGTACCTCTTAGGCCAACTTTGGCCAGCAGCCGGAAGAGAGGCAGGAGGATGTCATAGTCTGGAGAAGCTGTCCTCGCTGTGTCTACCAGGGTCTGCAGAAGAGCCTCACTGCCACCCTTGCTGATCATGTAGTGAATTCTCCGGTCTGTGCCTGAGGGGAAGCCAGAGGAAAGATGAGCCACAAGTAATAATCCCCATTTTCCTTGGAGCAGAAGACAGACCTGACAGCTAGAGACAGAGTAAGAATTAGTTCATTTCAATACATAAAATTGTGTAGTTCTTGAAGAAACCTGTGTTAAAGTTGCACTATCAGTTAAGGAAAGAGGGTTGTGAAATGGGAAAATAGTGGGATATTTAAGAACCTAGTTGTGTTCGGCTGCAACAGCTGTAATAAATAGAGCTTATCTGAGAATCTGTTGAATATTTGGTATATGTATGTGTATGTGTGTACATGTATGTAAATATGCATATACGCTTTTGTATAATCATATACTTAGAAGAGGGAATCTCAGTATCCCTCTGCTATACATTTGAATCTCCCGTAACAAGGATTGGGATGATGGCCTAATCTGGAATCATTGTATTGATGGCATAATGATTTTCTGATGCTGGCCTTCAGAAACTGATGGGAGAAAATTACAGAAACCACTGGAATAATCCCTTGAGAAAGAAACATCCAATCATCCTATCTAGGGAATTTTGAAGAGAGTCTAGAGCTATGATGAACTATTGATCTTTCTACCTAAGTACAATTTTGAACAGGGATCTCCTCCACCTTGCCCAAGGACAAACTCAAAAGCAACGATTTCATTTCAACTTGGCCTTGGTTGATTCTATGCACAGGGCAAAGTTGACCTAACAAAGGTGGCCAACAGGGTGGTGCGTTATCAAAGAAGACCACCTGATTTTTTATCCTAATGAAAAGTAGCATTCTCTGCAAGAGGCACAGTAATCACCACCTTATCAGAGGGAGAACTTCAAGGTTTCATCTTAAGAGTTTCAGACACCTCTGGACAAACGTAAGACAGCACTATCCCAGAAAACGAGTGACTTCACTTACACAGGTCCCACACAAAAGACTAAACGTAAGTCATCCTGCCAGTGGAGCACAGCACAAACCATGGTAAGACCCCAATATGATGGGCCCCTTCTCCTTGAAACCATAATCCTGAGGATCTATGGGTCTGGAGTGTCATTTATTTCTGATATTGCTTGTTTGGTGTTGATATTTCTTTCTAAAGTAATGTGGCCAGCATACATAAAAATGCAAATTGAGTGAGTGTTAGAATGTTCAAAAATCTCAGTAAGAACTTGAGCGAATAGAAGCATGCTCCAGTTAATCCCATTGATTCCAATGTAGTCGACTCTGTTATCTTATCTCTGAAAACGTGATGCTTACATGCTTCCAAGTTCAGCTCCTGCCTGATATTCCTGCCTCTACTTGAAATAGCCAAGGTAGCTTCTGATACTCGGCTCTCTTAAATAGGTCACAATGGAAGTGAGCAGAGCAAGAAGAGGGGTAAAACCACGGAGGGTTACTACTAAATCTAATTTCACCCTCAATGTTAGGTGAGAAGACTGAGGAGTGCAAGTACAATCAGTCCAGGTTACTTGGGTCTTATTAACCTTACAGAAAAAAGATGGGCTAGTGATGCTGCCTCTCACAGGAAATTGAAGCAAGAGCAAACCCCCAGGTCACAGAGGTTCCTGGGAGAGATCACAGCCAGCAGGCTCCACATCCACCATATGAAGGCATGACGACATGGCCTACTCACCAACAGAAAGCAGATCTCCGAGGACCTTGAGGATGGTCAGGATGGACTTCTTGTCAGAGGAGCTCTGCAATGAGAACACAGGCAGCCATATTTAAGAATGCAAGAGGAAGGAGCTGGATGATCAGGGATGCACATGGAATGGTAGAGCTCTACTTCCTGCCATAGAGAAAGACTTACTGCAGCAAAAGGACAGACAAGGGGACTCACTTGGTAAGGGAACCAGGGGTTGTGCCTCCCTCCATATTTAGTCTTCGGAACCCCTCTTTGCGGACCTATCTTGTAGTAACATCAGCAAGACAAACAAAAGAATAAGCAATAATGATTTACACAGAAAACAAGGAAGTAAAAGGGGCTTTGTGGGCCAGGATAGCACAGGTCTGTTATTTCAGTAGACTTGGCTTATTTTTATTTGAGACGAAGTCTTGCTCTATTGCCCAGGCAGGGGTGCAGTGGTGTGATCTCCACTCACTGCAACCTCCGCCTCCGGGGTTCAAGCGGTTCTCCTGCCTCAACCTCCCAAGTAACTGGGGCTACAGGCGTGTGCCACCACACCTGGCTAGTTTTTTGTGTTTTTAGTAGAGACAAGTTTCCACCATGTTAGCCAGGATGGTCTTGATCTCCTAACCTCGTTATCTACCTGACTCGGCCTCCCAAAGGGATTACAGGCATGAGCCACCGCACCTGGCCGGCTTATTTTTAAATACAGCACAGAGGAAAGAGACAGAAATCCACTAAAATGTTCTGATGAAAAGACTTCCCTGACTGACAAGAATGAACTCCTCCTTTTCTCAAGAGAATCCCAGGGTGGTGCCAAATCCTATTACGAAAAAACTCTAAGGAATCTCTGCAATACTTGACACTTTATCCTCTGTTATACAGAAAAGAACCCTGAATTCAGAGACAGTGTGGACTTGCTGAGTCCCCTGAGGTAATACATACGCAAAGCCAGAAGTACCACTCAGTCCAGGCTCCCAAAATCAGGCCAGTGCTCTTTGCACTGTAAGATATTTGGAGGAGAGGGTATTTTATTTAAGGCAAAGCCTTAATCTTCCCATTTATAAGACTCATGCTCCTCATCTGCTTCAAAGGCCTCAATAATTCCCCATCACATATAGGATAAAGTCATAGCTCATTAATAGAATTTCCAAAGCTCTTTATGATCTTGTCCTTCTTATGTCTTCAGCTTCATTATTCATTACAACACCCCTGCCTGAAATATATGCTTTAGCAACACATCACCCTTCAAGTGCACTCCGGCTCCACAAGATCCCCATCCAACCCTCAAGCTGAGTCTGGAGTCCCTTCTGTCTCCACATCACTCTGGGCTCAGCTCTGACATTGCACTTATAACATGGTATTGGTATCATGGTATAATCTTGCTTCCCACTCCACCTCCACTAGGTATGAAGATATTTAAAGAAGAAAACAAGTTTTGTGTATATCTCTTTCCTGCACCTGGCACAAGGATCTTCCATAAAAGGTGTGCAAATATTTGTTGAATGGAACCAAACTGAACCAAAAAGAACTACAAGGAGGCCATGAAGTCCAACAACATCCCCAAAGGCAGATGATGCCTACACTTTCTTCAGTCCCAGCTTTAAGACACCCCAGGGTCTTAAAGGGTTAAAATCAGACTTCAAAATTCCAGCCAGGGCCACTTGCTTCAGCACAAAATTTAAGAGAGCATAAAACATTTTTAAAAATTTTTTTAAAACCCACAGTAATCAAGATAAATATTTTTACAAATCAAAATTAATTAATTTTAAAAATCAACTAATTGGTTAACACCTATGTGCAGGTATTTGAGAAGCCCCCCCGAAGGTGAAGAATTTGGCATGTGACTGCGCTATGACTCCCAGAGGGGCAGCCGCAACATGCACGGGGAATACTAAGACCTGACCACCACGGACACTGTCACCCAGTGCTACCCAGACATGGGCTCCCCACACCATGCCCCGCCCACTCTATCTAGCTTATGAAGCTGGAGGAGATTGTCCCCAGCAAGTGCCACCAGCCCACAATCAAGCAGTTCCACAACTCCAAGAACAAGTTCCTGCTGCCCCACTGGGTCCTGTGCTGTCAAGGCAAGCCATGCTTCACCACCAAGAGACCCAACACCTTCTTCTAGGTGCCAGGCCCTCTCACCCAGGTGTGCCCCAATTAAACTCAGGAACACCCTGGTTTTAAAAAAAAAATCAATTAATTTTTTCAATTAATTTTGATTTGTAAATTACTTGATGAACAAGGTATCAAAATTTAACTGTCTAACTCCTATTCTGAGAGGGAATCCCAAGATACTTGATGTCTACACTTACCCAGGAGAAAGACCTGGGTTTACTCTAATGTCTTCTCCACTGGGAGCTTTGGGCTAACAAGGGCAATCTTGGCATATGCTTTGCTAATGCCTCTCATCACATCTGCACTGAAGGTTAACAGATGATATCGTTCTCTGAATCCCCAAGTCCACACCATCCCCTGGCAACTGTGATACATACGCGTACCAATGTGGGTGCCTCTCCCTCCGTGGTCTATGAAAAACTAGAAATAAGAATGGAGGAGCAGTCCAGAAACTGATCCATTATTTGGGGGAATTTTCAGGATTCTAGCCCTTTGAAAGTGAACCCAAAGATGGCTCACAGAAGAAAATGAAGTCTCTGGAATTGACTTCCTGATCAGCACTGACATTTCTGGATAGACCTGTAGCATACCTCGTCTTTCTGTGAAGAGGAGAGGCATAAAAGCCTTTGGAAAGGCTGTGCAAATGTTGGGTAACTTTTAAAATGCCAAAGTCATTTGTTGATTATAAATCATGAGCAAGGAAAAGGAAAAAAAGAGAGAAAATGGGGCGATAAGAAAAAGAGGAAGAAGAAAAGGGAAAGAGGAAAACTAATCAGGTAAAAACTGATTAAAGGTGAATAAAAGATCCAGATATAATTTATTTTCATTCAATGATTCATGCATTCATCTCGCAAACATTCATTGGGAATCATCTATATTCCAGCCACCAAGCTAGGCACTGAGGATAAAAATGGATGACGGCACAACCTTCCTTCATGGGGCTCCAGGCTGGCTGAAATGAACAGCTGGCAGACAGTACCCAAGACAGCAAGGGCTATGACAAAGGTAAACTGGGAGAAGTAGAGGGAATCCTAGAAAGGAACATTGAACCCAGCCAGATCCATGAGTGATGACTCTTGAGAAACCTCTCAGAAGCTAAACAGGGTAGGTCTGGTTAGTACTTGGATGGAAGACTCTTGAGAAACCAAGTTGAAAGGGGAGAAAAGAGTGTTCCCGCTATGATGTAGCCCTGTGTGTTCCAAGGGCAGCATGACAGGGCATGGGAGGCTGGGGGATGAATCCATCTGCAGTATGACCAGATTGAATAAAGCAGACGATGAAGGGAATTGCACATTATTTGTAGGCAAGAACTAGGTCTTATTCATCTCTCTATTCCCACCTCACAAGGTATAATAGATAATCCCTATATTTTATTAAATTAATTCCTCAAGCTAAGGAATGGCCTGCTTTATTACAATGCCCACTGATACTCCCTGAGAACAAGCGTTGTCTTCTATGGTTCTGTTGTATCTGCCAGCACAGATATAGGACTGGGCATATGGTATATATTAAATCAACATCCTTAAATTGGTTTGACCTGTGGCCAACATCGTATGCTGCACACACATCAGCCATTCCTCTGGAGTTGCCTCCGAGAAAACCCCATTTGCTTCAAATGCAGGATGATCGAGTGCTGATGGAGGATGTGGGTCTCTCTCCCCTGCCCAGGGAATGGGCCATGGCTCATCTCCTCTAAACTTTTTCTCTTTCATGTGGTTGGTTTAGAGGAGAATATGAACCCAGATCAGCAATAGAAAACCTGAGAGGACATCTGCAGGATTTTGGAAAAAGATTTTCTCCAGAAGTTAAAAAATAATTTAAAACAAAACACAAAAATATTTCCTGTGTTTGGACATTGTCATATGAAGACACAATTTTGGGTCCTCAGTGACTGGTAAGCCACCAGATCAACTCTATGGACCCCCCTACCTGTGGACTTTCAGATAAGTGAAATAATGAATATCTTCACTTATAAAAGTCACTTTCGGTAAATTCAGATGTGATAGAGAAAAGAAAATTTTGCACCTCCATGTGCTCTCTTCCCAAGTACTGTGGTCTTAAAAAATAGAAAAGAAATTGATTTCACAAACAAACCAGAGAGACAGCTCACGAGGAGAATCCTGCCGTCCCATAGAAACTAAGAGACAGTGTCGTCCTACAGACATTCAGTTCATAACGCCCTCACTCAGCACTAAGCTAGAATGGAGCAGTATAAATGGTTTTACTTTAAGTAAAAATTATGGTAAGCAGTGGAGAAAAATAATCTCAATTGGCATTAATTTATGTACTGCTACATTTGCCAATAAATACTTTACACTATTTAGAAGAATAACACAAAGCCGTTATCTCACCCACAGTTAATAAATGAGCTGTTAAAGAAGGCAGGATGTGATGTGCCTTGATTTTCCTTTAATGATCCTTTGAAATGAAACATTGAGTAATCCCCTGTTGTTGAAGACATTCCTATTAAAAAAAAAAAAAATGTATCTACCAAGCTCGCAGGGAGACGCAGGGAGTTGGAAGAACAGTGTTTTACGTAGTCTGTGGGGTTTTGAACTGCAATTTTCTCAAATAGCGTTTTGAATGTGTCACTCCCTGCTTTAAAATCTTCTATGTATCCCTGTTGCCTTCCTCCTCCCAACTCCTTATCAGGGTATGAAAATGACGCCCTTTACGTCACTCTGCCTCTGGAGGCTCAGCGGCAGCCACTCCTCCTACCCCAACACTCCATGCCAACGATACAGAACCAGTTACTATGCACCAAGAGCATCATGGGTACCTCTGCTCACAAGTCTGGGCTCAGGCTGACGCAGGCTTGAGTGTCATTTCTCCCCACTCGTTGTAGCATATGTTAATTCTCAACTCCAGCTCCTTTTCTATATGGTTTTCCCAGCTAACCTACCTTCCCAGCCCCCATTACACACAATTGCCACATATGTCTGCTCA